AAAAAAAAATTTTGAATTTACTTACTTGTAGCCGGAGTTAGAGGCGGTCGGATACTTATGACCGCTACTGTACATAATTATAAAGATATGAAAAAAAGGATACAGCATGTTTAGGCAATTCTTTATATGCTAAGAGTTTTGAAGTTTCATCTGAAACTCATTTCGATATATCATCATTTACAAAAGAGTCAGGAATAAACATAGTCTTAATGGAAATACTAGTATCTATAATAGGAAAAAATCCAATTAAAGATATATACTTAATTATTAGCTATCTTATCTATTGTATATTTCAGTTTCTATAAAAAATTACAAGAATAATATAATTTTATCTAAGAATAATATTAATATATTTTTATATTTTTTTAGGTCTTTTCAGACTATTTCAAAAACTTACTGAATCTACATATAAATCAACATTACATTCAAAATGCACGTAACTTCAGAACATTTATGAATACTTCTGTGAGAGTAAAGAAAATAATACACTGAACATTTAAAGCTTCTGTTTCAAAAATGAAATATAAGAATATTAAATTTGATCTCATTTATCATTATAACACACTTTAAATGATACGTTACTTCATTGACAGTAGTAAGGATGATCGTTTTTCAAACATTGGTTGAGATTTTTATAATTTTACTATGGATTCATTGCTTTATTCTATATTATCTGATTGGTATATGACTCAAGACCTTCAAAATGATGATATAGCTGATATTGGTAAGCTTAATAGTATCAATTAATCTTTTTGTAAATATTTTCATTAATATTACTGTTAATATTACTTTATATTAGACACAAATATTTCATCACATAATAATAGAGTAAAAAATATTAAAACACAGAAAAAGGTCTCGAAAAGTAAAATACAGCAACTTGCTTTACCTGTATAACTTGATAATAACTATCAATTCACTTACGATCTCATGTGTGCATATGATATCTATATGCAAAAAAGAGCTGCTTCGATATATAGACATGTGAAATTCTACAAACAAATGAAATATGATATCTTAGATGATAATGATAGATTTGATTCACATTTAGATTTGCATTCAGATGATATAATACAGATTCAAGAGGAAAATAGTATCTCATATGCTATATTAAAGGTGATATTTATACACAAGTATAATGATGGATCAATATATGCATTTATTTAGATCAATTGGTTATGAGAAAGTTTGGCAAATAATTCAATTCTTCAATGTTCAATTTATGAAATACAAACAACTGAAAATTTTCGATGGCATAGGATCTATCTAATATCTCTTATAGAAAGTATTCCAAAGGTACATTTCGTGCATTGCTGTCATTTTACATGTACTACAACTTCACATGATTTATCAAATAATCGATATTTTAAAAATAAGTTTTATTATATAGCAATTTAATAAATATAATATAATAATGTGATGTAATAATGCTTTAATAATGATTTTACAATAGGTTATCAATATATTATATAATGCTTTAACAATGTAATTGATATAATATTACAATGATTTTAAATATCATAATGACAATGTATAATTATGGTTTTACAATGCATTATATCATGCTTAATAACAATGCAGATGATGATAAAAAAATTATATTGTAAATATGTAACAATCACATGGTTTAAAAATATGAAATTTCAGTAAAGTAGGTCTTTTAACAGAACAATGACCCTAAATACATAACCAAGAAAACTAAAAAACTTCTTTCTAAACAATATCTAAGATTGTAGATTAATGATCAAATAGTCCAAATTTAAATCTGAATAAGAATTTGTGATCAATTTTAGAAGAAACATGTGAAAAAGAAGTCAACAATCTTATAATTAATAAAAAATCAAATTACTATAGATGTTTTTATAAAAAAGTGTGAAAGGAAATTGAATCTGAAATTCTTCTTAATTTATTTCATAATATGCCAAAATGATTAAAATAAATAATTGAGGGGAATAGTAATAAGCTAAGCTATTGAAATAGCTTAATATTTTTTTGTTATATAATAAAATATATAATTTTAAATTTTCAAGTATTTTCAAGTTATTTTCAAAGTATAATAAATAAAAATATAATTCTAAATACTTTTATCACATACTATATCATTATCAATCTTATCAGTTTTACTTTCAAAGGTCTATAATTATTTAAACTATATAAAATTAGTGAAGATTTATTAATTAAGAAGTTAGCAAGTTTAAAAGAAACTAAACTTTATATATTTCTGGTAGCAGTATTTTTGAATCTAAATATTTTACTATTTGACCTTTGTTTAATTAATTTCTTTAATAATTTTAAAAGCTAACTTTATTCTTGCTACTGTTTTTCAATTTTATATAAATGATTATTAATATCTCTAAACTCCTTAAATTGCTAGATAAAAATCACATAGTTTCAAATAAATCCAAATTGATTCTCACTTTTTTTTAATACTATTCTCAATTTACATAGTCTTTACTATACTTTGCAATAATTATTGCTATTTTAATTATAGTCTATACATTACTTTATATGCATAGATTTTTAAGCTATTATTACTTCTTTTTAGAAATTTTTTTTTATTTTATAATTTTCTTTTATTTAATTTTACCTTTAAAATTTCATTAGTCCATTTTATTTAATTTGATTGCTTACAATAATCTTTCCATTTTTTTTATCAAATTAAAGTTCATAGTAATGATCATTTCAATAATACAGTTGATATACTTATAACTCATTATCAATTACATAAATTTTAATCCTGAATTTTATCTTTAACAAAATTTGAATTCAATTATTTCTTTCTCTTATCTTTTTCTAAATACAAATTATAAGCTGTTTGGGTTGAATTTTTATTATCACTTTAATATTTATTATAATATTTTAACAAACACATAAATTGAACTTTCTTTTTAATATTCTTAATGATGAAGAAATCTTATACGTTACTTTATTTAAAGGATATTTTAAAAAATTTTGACTTAAAATCTTACTATAATTACTTTTTACTTTAAAAATTCTACATATCAGGTTATCTGACTTTTATTATCATCATAATACTTTTGATGTTCTGATAATATTAAAGTTAATAATTGCAATTAAATTATATAAATTGCAACTTTATAAAATTTATTATAGTTGTAACTTATAATTTTAATTATTTAAAAGTTGCAGCTTTTTATAATAGTTGTAACTTAAATTAAAATTGCAACTTTTTATAATAGTTTTAACTTAAATTAAAGTTGTAATTTAATTTAAATAATAAATTATAATTAGTTGCAACTGGTTACAATTAATATATAAGTTTAATTGATCTGCAATTTATTATAATATGACTATAATATTTATAATTATTGCAATTTTATATTATAGTTATAACTTAAATTATAGTTGCAACTTAATTTAAATAATAAATTATAATTAATTGTAACCAGTTGCAACTAAAATTTAATTAATTACAATTTATTATAATATGATTGTAATTTTATAATAGTTGTAATTTAAAACTGTTTATAAATAGTTAATAATTAATAATATATATTTTTTATTTTTTATTTGATTTTTTTTAAAAAATATTTACATGTTTATATAGACTATTTTAGGAGTTCTAAGACAAAATTTCCGAATATATATACATGAGTGGATAATCTTTTAGATCACTTTCTCGATATACAAAACTTTGAAATCTTTATTGAACTTTAAATTTATCTACAAGGCCAGGAAACATATCAAAATCTAATATTGAATTTAAGCTTAAAATTGAATTGAGCTTAAATTCTGTTAACCTATCTTCTTACTCAAATTTTAAGTATCTAAGATTAAGATATACACCATCTTTGTTAATGCATTGGCCTGATTTCAATCCCAAATATTATAATGAAAAAGTATGCTATACTGCTTGTCCTTAAAAAGAACCTCTGAATATCAAGAACTGAAGTGTTTGAGTGTACTCGAGATTCATCCAAGCAAGTTTAATTAATATACCATTTTTTTATGTTATCTTAGAATTAATTCTAGAACTGATTCATCAATGTAATCAAATTCTGATAAGTCTAATCTCAAAAAGGTTAGATTTAACAGCTTGTAAAGCATCAAAAATGCAAAGCATGTATACAAGATATGTTTACAAAGTCTGCAGAGTGAAGTGGAGCATATACACAAGATATGTTCCACTTCTAAGTCTAACTTTTAAGTCTAATCTCTAAATCTAACCTCTAAGTATAACCTCTTTATTATATTGATCGTATATATATACCTTAACCTGAAGCATATTTACATGCTGGATCTAATAATTACTATTATTATAATAGCTACATAAGTCATTATCTACTTCTATAGGCTTATTTATCTTTGTAGATCTACTATAAATAGAGCACGACCAGTGTTTTTTAGCCCTATTTTCTCATAAATTCAAAAATATAAAAAAAAGTAATTAAATATTAAGGGTCATAGAATTAAATATTTTAAATTAAGAAAAAGTTTACACATATATTAGAGGTTAGACTTACATTAGTATTATAGCAATAAGTGATAAAAAAATTGTGAATGTATTTATTATAGAAAGGCTTTCTCTATGTTACAAAAACTTTATTAGCATTATAAAAATAATAAAAATTAATGTAGTTTACATTTAGAGAATAATAATACTCAAAGGAGTATACCTAAACCTCGATCACTATAGTAGCGGTTATAAGTATCTAACTGCCTCTAACTCTGACTACAAGTAAGTAAATTCAAAATTTATTTTATTTAAAAAATACATAACCAACTAACTAAAATTAATACATTGTGTAGTCACCATTTAACTCTATAAGTGCAGCTGTATGCCTTTTTATGCTAACTACTAAATTCGTGACAAGTACAGGTAATAATCAGTTCTATTCTATTGTAAGTTCCCCCTTTAACCCTCTAATTGATCAAATTTTTTTTTTGTATATTAATTTTTATTAACCTCCAAACGTTTTCTATAGGGTTTTGGTCTGGAGACATTGATGGCTAAAAAAGTACCTTAATGCCATTTTCTTCCTTCTATTTTTTCGTGATTTTCAATTGATGCTTTGGATCATTATCTTCTTGCAAGATCTAATCTATGTTACATTTACCAAAAAGTTTAAAGGTGGAAGCCAGAAAACTCTGCTCATAAATAGTACACATAAATTCAGCATTAAGGTTCTTCTGAAAGCAAAATAGTTTATCAAATCCAGAAGCAGAAAAACATCCCCAAACATGAACTTTTAGTGGATGCTTAACAGAACGAAACACTTTTTTTCTACTAGAAAACTGCCAAACCTTTTTTTTTAATGTATATAATTGAAATGTACTCTTATCTGTAAAAACAACTCGATTTCAATCAAAATTCTTATGTTTTTTTGCCCATTACAACCTTTTCTTTTGATGGTCTTCTTTAAGCAAAGGTTTAGAAATTTCATTACTAAACTTTCCTCCAGACTTACGAA